AAAAAAAAAAAAAAGGCAACGTTAAAGGGACGCCTGGGTGGTTCAGTAGGTTAAGCATCTGCCTTTGTTTGGCTCAGGTCATGATCACAGGGTCCTGGGATCGAGTCCCACATTGGGCTCCTTGCTCAGCAGGGTGCCTGCTTCTCCCTCTGCCTGTCGCTCTTTCTGCTTGTGCGTGCTCGCGCTCCCTCTCTCTCTGATAAATAAAATCTTAAAAAAAAAAAAAAGGGCAACATTAAGATGTGTACCCTCCTCATACTGGCAGCTATCTCAAGACAACATCCTCTAGGGTTACACCATCCAATATAGTAACCATTACCCACATGTAGTTATTTAAACTTACATTTAAATTAATTAAAGTTAGATATTTAAAAATCAGTTCCTCAATTACATTAGCCACATTTCAAGTCCTCAACAGCTACATGTGGCTAGTGGCTACCATACTAGTCAGTGCGGATGTAAAACACTAGCATCATTACAGAAAGTTTTAGTAGACAGCACTATCCTAGGGAATTACAGAAGATTGGAAACCCTTGGCATGCAAATTATTCAAAGCAAAATGAATAATGGTAATTCACTGATACTTCATGCAAGACTTAACTGAAAAACCTCAGATGGGGTGCCAGTGGCTCAATCAGTTAAACATCCAACTCTTGATTTTGGTTCAAGTTACAATCTCAGGGTTGTGAGATCAAGCCCCACATTGGACTCTGCCCTCAGTGTGGGGTTTGCTTGAGATTTTCTCTCTCCCCACTCTCTCTCTCTCAAATAAATAAATCTTAAAAAAAAAAAAAAGAACAAAAACCTCAGAGTTGAACTTCAAAATTATGAAACAAAGGGAACAGAGGAGAGAACTTGTTCTGTTGTGTATCTGCTATTCCTCGATGACTAGCAACTAAAGAGAAACAAAAACCTTCTCTGCACTTCAGAAGCATTTGGTCTTGGAGGGCAGTGGGGATGTACATATAAATAATAACAAAGTTCATTTAAGACTTTGTAGGTGCTAAAGTTATAACAAAGGTGCCTGTAGATAAGGGATGGTTTTACAGAGGTGGTGGTGTTTAGCCTGGGTCTCAAAAAATAAGCATCTGTTCCACAGGCTAAGGAGATAGAGCAATCCAGATAGAGGGGACAGCATGAGCAAAGGTACTTATGAATTCAGTGGTGCTATTAAACAGTTCGGGGTGGGGGGAGTTCAAGCATGGCTACATAGAAGATATAAATGAGGGAAAACTTCTGGAGTGTAATGCCAATGAAATCTGTAGGCTTTAAAGAAACCTTTTTTTTTGAGAAAGGGAAGTATGTGAGGCTGTCAGCTCTCAAAAAGCCCAGATGGAAGAACAAAAGTGTACAGGCAGGAATGTTAATGAGGAGGTCACTGACCGAGTCTGATCAAAAAGTAGCTAACGTCTGGGGGCGCCTGGGTGGCTCAGTCGGTTAAGCAGCTGCCTTCGGCTCAGGTCATGATCTCAGGGTCCTAGGATGGAGCCCTGCAGCCGGCTTCCTGCTCAGCAGGAAGTCTGCTTCTCCCTCTCCCTCTGCTGCTCTCTCTGCTCATGCTCTCTCTCAAATAAATAAAATCTTTAAAAAAAAAAAAGTAGCTAAGGTCTGAACTTGCAAAATGGAGCTATACATGGATGAATAAGCAGAACATCAGAGATAGAAACAAATAGGATCAGTAAAGATTAAGCAACTAAACACAAATGAAATGTTAGTGAGAAGGGGCAAAGAAACTACCAAATTTCTAGGTGGACAAAGTGTGGCTATGCTACCTGAAAAGCCCAAATTGAAAACTTGAGGTAACAAGACGGCTCCTCTGTCAGCTCCAAGAAGAGATTGTCGGGAAACAGTGACATGACTGAAGTTGTGAGATGCCAGGCCCAGGACTTAACAATCAGGCTGCATGGCTGGCTGATACAGCAATTTGCACTACTTACCCCTCCTACCTCCCCAAGCCTATGGCTTACTTCCTTGTCCAGTGGATATGGACATAACAGATAACAAAAGATATAACCTTTCAACTCAGTAGAGATGAAACCACCCCCAATACAGCAAATGTAAAGTAAGTATGTGACTCTGGTCCCAGAGCTGGAGCACTGGAAGGAACTCCTGGAGCCTGAAGCAATTACACAGATGCTCAGAGATTACCCCACAGAACTGGGAAAACAGGTCACACTTAGGTGACAATTCAGGTAGGCTTCTGGATATTTCAGTGTTTCTGGATATTTTTATACTTATTTTTTTTTTAAAGATTTTATTTATTTATTAAAGAGAAAGAGAGAGAGAGAGAGAAAGGGAACACAGGCAGGGGCAGTGGAAGAGGGAGAAGCAGGCTTCCCGCCGAGCAGGGAGCCCCATGCGGGGCTCGATCCCAGGACCCCAGGATCATGACCTGAGCCAAAGGCAGACGCTTAATGACTGAGCCACCCAGGTGCCCCATACTTTTATTTTTGAAACAAAAGGCTCCCATCATTACCTGCACATTTGGTCTGTTTCTTTTAGTTGCACCTTCAAATGCCAAGTAAGACAAAGATGCTGGCTCACTCCCTCCAACATCAACTTTGAATATATCTCCAGATTTAGCTGTCACTATGCCGATCACATGGTCTCCTTTCACTGGGACATACTACAAAAGAAAACAGAATAAAGGAACAGCCATAAACGAAAATCATTTCCAAGGTATCTTGGAAGATATCTTCAGCAAGTCTTTATTGGTTACTTTACTGTCAGAGTTATTTAGAAAATATTTTGAAATTCAAGTTTACAAATTAATACAAATCAACAACAAACTGATGTTACTCTCAGTAAAAGAAAAACAATCACATCATAAACTCTCTTTACAGCGTCTAATACTCTGTTCATTTCAGCCAGTATCCCGTATGTCTTGTATCCTTATTAGGAAGTCCCTAGAGCTTCTACTGGCATATTAAGTCCAGTGGTACAGGGGATCCTATAACCAAGGAAGGCTATTTCACTGTTAGACAGTTTTTCCCATATTCAAGTCCTTACTTATTCTAAGAGAAATTTAACTCCCTGGAAAATCCACTCATTGAGCCTGGATTTCTGCCCTTTGGGACTCCAAAAGACAGGCCTGGTGCTCCCTGGCCTTTGAGATTTTGAAGGAATGACCATGTCTTACAATCCTTAAATTCTTAGACGCCAAGATTTCCAGTCTCCTTTCTCTCCTGGTCGCCCTTCTCAGGCCACGTTTCATCTGTTCACAGTGTTCTAAAGGGGATGCAGAGGTGGGCACATGACTACAGTGGCTCTAGACTAGCATTAACAGAGAAGAGATCCAGGGTCCACCCCTGCTTCTTCCCAGAGCGAGGGAAGTACCACCTCTCCGGAGTCCCAACTCACCCGTTTTTGCTGTGAATCCACCCAGTACACGCCACCGCCGCTACCGCCGCCGGGCTCCTTGTGACGGAGGCGGCCGCACTTGGTGACCAGCAGGCGGTCGCCATAGCGCCGCAAGCCCGGGCCGCACACAACGCGCCCTCGGGAGCGCGTCCCCGCATTCAGGCGCAGCGGTCGCTCTCCAGCACTTCCTGGGCCTTCAGCGTCCTCCTGCTCGGGCAGCAGCAGTTCCTCACCCGGGAGCACCACCTGATCTAGCACATTGCGCGCCGCCCGTGCCCTATCTCCCGCAAGGGATTCGGCCACAACACTCACCGCCTCAGCCATATCGGGAGCCTCCAAACGCAATTTTCAGCTTCCACTTCCGGCTCCGCGTCCAATCGCCAGCCTGCTCAAGGCTTTCCGTTTCCGGTAGTAGCGGTCTATTGGAATTGAACCTATGTCTGTGAAACCTGATCGCTGTGCGCTGGGGTCCTGCCACGGTGGCTGTGATAACTCTCGCCCGTCACCCATCTTGCGGTCTTTCTGCAGAACAGTACGAGGAACACGGCTTAAATCGATGGCAGATCCCTTACTTCCGCTGTTTCGGGTTGCACCGCAGGATACTAACACGCTCCCACGTATGGTTCCGTGGGAACCTTGAGGACTGAGCAGAGGGACTTCGGGATTGATCCTTTCCTTCCACTTCCGCCCTCAGAAGGAAAAGTATTTTCCTTTTTCAAAATAAAACCTTTTTTGGTGGTTGCTAGAGAAGATATCTATTCACATTGTGGAAAACAGAGAATACAAAGAAAATAAACGAAAGGTGTTAGTCTTGCCCCGCATTTGTCTCCTGCGAGGCTGTGAGCTAGTTCTCACTTTGTAACCCAGGGTCTAGCACCTAAATAGATAGTACCTGATGAATGAATGCGTATTAACATTTTGGTGTGTATTTCTCCCCAGACTTTCCCCCTGAAAATATACACATACACATGAGCATTTCCACATAATTGAGCTACCCCTACATGGCCTGGGGGAAATCGGTAACTGCAACTAAATCCTTGCAGCTACATTCCCTGAAGCACACTAGTTGCCCAGGTGAGAAGCAGTTGAATTCCAAATCCATGGCACATCAGGATCGCTCTTACTTGAAATCACTGTTTCCTCTGTACACTAGCATCTCCAATTAGCTCTTGGTCAGATTCCCCAGCAGGGCTGAGTGCTTGTGGGGACTGGGAGGGCTTGGCTTTGCCTATCTCTTTGAGGCATTGGCTTCCGAAATGAATTTTTAGATTTGGGGGACGTTTAAGACAGATCATCTCTAACTTACCTTCCAAATTTGGCAAAATGCTGGCGAGCCAACTGAGTAAGAGTATTAAGAGGAAAACTGAAATATAGATTTTGTTGTTTTGCAGTCAGATTGTTGTAGGAGCATATCTTGATCAGTTACCCTGGCAGGAGGAATGGTGCAGATATTTTTTCCCTCCTCCTCACTCCAACCCAGCTCTAAAGGACCTGCAACCAGTAGGTATTCGATGACCAAGACTGCCTGAATCGTGGCTGACCCAAGGCCGTGCCCAAAGGGGGCTCAACGGCCTCTGGTCTGGGCCAAGCAGAGAGAGAGGTCGGTAAATGATGCCAGGATTGTCCCTCGCGCACCCCATGCTGATAGAGAAGTCTTTGGAAAAAAGTTGGCCCAAAGCTGGCTAAGGAGGCCTTTAAAGCCCACCACCTTTTGGGAGCGGCACTTAGCTCATTCCCAAGTCGACAGAAGAAACCCGAGGCCCAGAGGTGGGCAGTCGCCTGAAGACCGGAAGCTGGGGCCGGAAGGGGCCGGCCTCAGCGCCTCGCGGGTGGTGCCCTCCCCACACGCCTCCAGGGGCGGGCCCAGACGGCGAGGCTCGCGGGAAGGCTCCTTTGTTTTGAGGCGTGTGCTGCCAGGTCGGTGCTTCGCTGCTTCCGTGCCCTGTAGCCGCAGGTGAGTGAAATCGCACGGCCGGGGCTGGCGTGGCAGGCAGGGCCTGGGGATTGCGGAGGTCCGCCAGCGTGCGGGCGGCGAGTGGGGAGCCGTGGCCTCCCGCGAGTGTGTGTAGGCCTTAACGCTCCTTGCTGCGGCCACGGACTGACGCGACATGCGGTTCGTCCTTGGGGTCCGGTTGGGCCGCGGTTATGAAGTTTGTGTTTCCAAACGGCGCGTGCTGCCGTTTCTGGATGCAGAAGTGGCCGTGGGGCTAGGGAACGCAGAGGAGGCTGGGCCCATGCAGTTAATGCAGGCCTTCCCTGGTGGAGAGCAAGCTTAAGCTGCCAGCCCCCGCGTCGGGGCTTCCCAGCAGATCGGCCCAGGTGGATTAAGCCCATTCCCTGTTTGGGAGCGGCCCGCTTGGAGCCAGAGCTGTAAGGGTGGTGCTGCCCTCGATTGCTTGTGATGTACACCTCCCCACTTTCAGGATTTTCTTCCACAAAATTACCAGATTGATCTTCGGAAAAGTTGGGCTGGATCGTAGCCTTCCAGACGATTTCCCAAAACTTCCTCTTTAGAAATCTTTACGACTTGACAAGCTGGAAAAGTAGCATTTCATGGTTGCTTTTCTTTCTTGACTGGTGAAATTGGGCCGTTTTGTTTAGGGTTTTTTTTGTTCGTTTGTTTTTTAAGTAGGGTCCACGCTAGGCTTTGGCTTGAACTAGACCCTGAGATCAAGACCGGAGCCGAGAGCGCCTGGGTGGCTCAGTCGGTTGAGCCTCGGACTCTTGGTTGTGGCTCAGGTCATGAACTTGGGATCCTGGAATCAAACCCCGCCTAGACTCCCTGCTCAACATGGAGTCTGCTTCTCCCTCTGCCTACCCCCACTCCCGCTAGTGCACGCTCTGTCTCTCAAATAAATAAATAAAATCTTAAAAAAAAAAAGACCTGAGCTGAGATTAAGAGTTGGACACCCAGTCCACTGAGCCACCCAGGCACAGGAGTGGGCGGGGGGGGGGGGGCGGGGGGAGGTGTTTTCTCCTTTCAGTCAACAACACTAGTGGGCATTTGGCATTTGCTCTGAGCCGGGAAGTGAGCTGAGGAGTCCATTGAGTCATGGCCCCTGCCCTGGGGGAGTTTACTGTCTCCACATGAAAATATCAAGGGTTAGGGTGGCTGTAACAACCTGATTAGGGTGTCAGTCCCAAGGGTAGAGAGGTTGAAATGGTTACCACTCTGTGGGGAGGAAGGTGCCAGGATAGGTGTCCCAAAGAATGTGATACTTTAGTGAACCTTTAAGATTTTTTTAGTCTTAGGACAGCTGGGTGGCTCAGTTGGTTAAGCGTCTGCCTTCGGCTCAGGTCATGATCCCAGTGTCCTGGGATCGAGTCCCGCATCGGACTCCTTGCTCAGCAAGGAGCCTGCTTCTCCCTCTGCTTGTGCTCTGTCTCTCTCTGTCTGAAATAAAGAGAAAATCTTTAAAAACAAAAAAAAATTTTTTTAAGTCTTTTTCAAATTACAAATGATCTACATGCTGATTTATATACAGATATTAAGAGTCCATGTAGGGTGCCTGGGTGGCTCAGTCATTGAGCGTCTGCCTTCGGCTCAGGTCATGATCCCGGGGTCCTGGGATTGAGTCCCACATCGGGCTCCCTGCTCGGCGGGAAGCCTGCCTCTTCCTCTCCCACTCCCCCTGCTTGTGTTCCTGCTCTTGCTGTCTCTGTCTCTGTCAAATAAATAAATAAAATCTTAAAAAAGAAAAAGAGTCCATGTAAGTATTGTTAGTGTCTTTATTCAAATAAAGAATTTAAATGTAAATGCTTACAATTATCACTTACAAGTGAGTCTCCTTGCTACCAATGTTTTTAATCACACATAATCATGGCAAGTAAAACTAACAAGAGCTTTAAAGAGTATAAGAATAGCAGATGTAAGGAACAGCCATTATGCCTAGTAGTGAGATAGCACATCTGAGGAAGGCTCTTCCTGCTGTCCAGGACTGATTGAGACCTTGTTGGAGAGGACATGGTCTTGACTCATTAAATAGTAAGAAGTCACTGGGAACCTGTGCCAGTGGAACTTGCTTAGAAATCCACCCTCCAGGGGCGCCTGGGTGGCTCAGTTGGTTAAATGTGCGGCTCAGGTCATGATCCTGGGGTCCTGGGATCAGCCCCAAGTCAGGCTCTGTGCTCAGCAGAGAGTCTGTTTCTCCCCCCCCGCCCCTCCCCCCGCTCCTGTGCATCCACTCTTGCTCTGTCTCTCTCTCTCTCTCTCTAAAATAAAATCTTGAAAAGAAATCCACCCTCCAGAACTTGCTGGCAATGCTAGGGTTCTGGGGAAAGCTATTCCTGGGGGAGTGTCTCCTGGAAGGCTCTGTTACAAAACTGCCTGATAGGGTGCTCAGGAAAACTGCTGGCTGCTGGGTGCCTCTGGCCACCGAGAGAAGCCGGAGCAGATGGTGGAGAAGCTGCCATGCTGCAGGAATATACCAGAATGAACACTGGAACCAGTAAGCACAACCTATTCCTCCTGAAATGCTTCTTCAGGGCCTTATACCTACAAAACTTGTCTTTGTGTTAGATAGCAAAGAAAACATTTTTTAAAGGCCCAGATTCATTTTCTCAGAGCAGTAAGGGTGAGTTTAGAGCACTGTGGCAGTACACTGATAACTGGCTCATGGTCTCATGAAGTTGTGAGATCAACAGACTTGTCAGTAACAGCAGTAAGCCAGATGGCTTCATTGACAAATTCTACCAAGCATTTAAAGAATACCCATTCTTCACAAATTCCTTCCAAAAAAAAGAAGGAACACATACCAACTTATTCTTTATGAGGCCAGGATTACCCTGGTATCAAAACCAAAGATACCACTGGAAAAGGAAACTACAGATTAATATCCCTTATGAATATAGACACAAAATCCTCAACAAAATAGGAGCAAACTGAATCCAGCATTATATTAAAGGGATTATACACCATGACCAAATGGGATTTATCCTAGGAATGTAAACATTTGAAATCAATTAGCATACCCTACCAAAGGTGAAAACCACATTATCATCTGAATAGATACAGAAAAAGTATTTTAAAAGTTCAACACACTGTCATGATGAAAACACTCAATAAACTAGGATTAGAAAGGAACCTCAACCTAATGAAGGGCATCTACAAAAACCCACAGCTAACATCATACTTAGTGGTGAAAGACGGAAAGCTTTCTCCGTAAGATCAGGACGAAGACAAGGATGTCTGCTCTCTTCACTTCTATTCAGCATTGTACTGGACGCACTATCTGAAACAGTTGAGCAAGAAAAACAAAAAAAGGTATCCAGACTGGCAAGGAAGAAGTAAAACTGTTTCTGTTTGCAGGTGATATGATCTGGTA